ACACTTTCTACACATCTAAAACCAACAAACAACAAATTACTAAATTCTAGGTACTTAAACAAATATTTTCAAACCAATTAAAGAGTATATATGTTAACAACACTTGCTCAAACTTACCAATTATTTATGCACACTTTCAGCACGCGGATGCAGGTAGACATCGTCTCGCATATATCGATCTAGCCATAAAATACCGAAACCACAAGCCTACTGCACCTCTATCTCTATCTATGGGAGGTAGAAACTGTTTACTTCCTGTCGTCAAACGTTCTAAGCACATGCATACGAGAGGACCATAATCCCCTCTGGCTCCCTGCGTTTGTTGTGGCGCAGTCTCGCCTCTGATCATTGTAACTTTTAACTTCTTTGGCTTCTTGTTTCCAGAATTAGTCCAATAAAATCGCATCCAAGTATTTAGCCAAATGAGCGCTCCATCCCTTTGTAATAATATCTCTCAAATCAGACAATGATATGTAATTCAACATGCTATCATATACCATTGTCTTCAGGGATGGGAGTTGAAGCTCGACGAGAAGCCAATGACGACGTTCCAAAATAGTGATAAACACCTGTAATCATAAATAATTGCGCACATCAAATAAAAATTATGAACACCTTTAAAATATTCAAAAAATAAATACTAACCTTATCGACCTCCCACAACGCAGGATAAAGTTTAGCTTTTCCATTACCCAACGTATATGAAGAATCTATCGGATTCTTCAAGTGAGCTACGTGAAAAGACGTCGGCATAATAGTTAATCGAGTATTTTTTATTTTCTTCAATTTCCTTATTACTAGAAGACGTGACACCCATGCATCATTATGTTGTTTTTATAAAAAATTTACATATTAGTGAATTTATTAATAAATTTAAAAAAATTAATCAAAATGCAATATAAGAAGAATATAAGACTTACCCCCTTCGAAATAGCTATTATCTTCAACCCCTAATAAAATACCCCACCAAGACCGATCAAGAAACAAATGCATAACATCATCAAGTTTGCATATGTCAAATAACACCCCTGGCTCCGCTCATGTAGATAAAAATCAACTGCGATCTTAGCCCAAAGGGTATTATCTGTAATTGTGTCCGATAGTGTTTCCCTCTCCTGCTGAGGAATGGTACTGGCCGGTAACTCATACGAAAGCCAACACGCATCCATCATATCGGGCACGAGAGGGGGTCAATATGTCTACAAATGACGTGTTGTGAATCGGACTCTTGAACGGTGGGAGGGACCCATTGAACGATGACAGGGGCCTCTTGAACGGTGGGAGGGGCCTCTTGAAATGAGAGGAGCCTCTTGAACGATGATGTGTCGCTTGAACGATGACAGGTGAATCAGACTTCTTCTTACGAAGTCTTGGCACAGTGGGGTGAAAGGAGACGTAATGGCACGTGCACGACGTCTGATGTGTAAACCCCGTCGTGCAAGAAAAACCCGACGTAAAGCATCTACCTTATCGGGCCGCTGAAAATAAATTAATACAAAAATCAGTAAATAAATAAATAAATAATGTCGAAAAAGGTTATTTGCATTTTTAGTATAGTATTAAACAAATTTATCTCATTGCGTAGAGTATGAACCTCATTCTGCAACGATAAAACAATCTCACGTAGAGCGGCTACATCATCACGTAAAGTAGATACCTCACCACGTAGCGTACCATTGTCATCGCGTAAAACATCCACCTCACCACGTAAAGACTGTACCTCATCACGCCATGCACTATTGTCTTCACGTAAAGTACCGACCTCATGACGCAAAGCACCGACCTCATCACGTAACTCCCCTAACTCATCACGTAAATGATGTGGCCTCTTTGCCGGTCGCCTATCATGAGGTGATGGTGGAGAAGAGGCTCGATGATGTGATGGAATAGGTGATGGTGGAGGTGGAGAAGAGGCTCGATCAGGTGATGGCTCCGGGTGACGAGTTGTAGAATCGGCCCGATCAGGTGATGGCTCTCGAAGTGGAGGGTGCTCATCACCCATCCCATCAGAAAACCGCTTACTAGCTTGCCACCAATCAGTGGCAAGCTCAACCTCTATGGGTGTCAGCCTCTGTAATGGATAGTTGACCTCCTAACAATATAAGCTCAAACAAAGTTAAATGTGTACTAGTAATAACTTGTTTAACTATATGGTAGTATTTGTGTGTTAACTTACATCATTCATCGTCGTATATGGCAGTAACTCTTCCCAATCCAACATACGGATCCTCTTCCAGGTAATTGCCCTATGAATATCATTTGAATTTTTTATCGCATATGTATGCATGCTGGGAAAAGCCTCAAATATCTAAATCTACAAACAATATAATACACAAAATCAGTAATTGTTAAATAATTAATTATAAATTTGGAAACATTATATAGAAATTCTAACCTTAAAGGCCCAAATAAAGCCTGCCAAAGTGTATTTAGAACCATCGCCCCGCAAACTTTTTCGGTCCTCAAAGGCAGACGACAACTTCTTCCAGGTAGCTTTCCATAGATATGAACCCCACAGAAACATGTTACATGCTTTTAGGTCATCTACCAATAATATTAGGTCCTCAGAAATATGTTGTCTGCCCTCTTTGCCTAAAAAGTCGGCATGCAAAAGTAATAAATGGCATACTCGGACAACATCAAGGTCATCCATCCGAGTAAAACCATCTTTAACAAATAATCTCTTCAAGTCGTCGACGTGTAAACTTGGCTTCGACTTTTCCAGCTCAGGAAAAACCCAAGATAACCATGATGGGCGGGAGATATGACTAGTGTACCAGGTTACTTCATCGTGTCTGAAGCGTAGACCAGTGATTAAGCAAAACTCCTCCCGCTCAAAACAAGTATACGCCGGAGGAAAATGAAACCATATCTCTTCATCACCACGTTGCAACCTTTCGGGTAGATCGTTAGTCATGGTCTGAATAAACAAATGTGTCAATATAACATCTCCACTCGAATGTTGTACTTTCAGCTTGGCCCGAAGCAAGTATCCTCAAACAAGTTTCTTTGTAGAGGTGTAAGCGTCGACGCAATTTTAGTGGCTACGCTTAATTTATTCCTTAAGGTCAATTGAGCCGAAAAAAAATTCTACAAAAACAATAAACATATCAAGTTAGATATACCAAAAACTACAAATTATACACCATAAACAGACATGATATTAAACAGTGAAAACAAAGCCAAATATGTTTCAAACTAGCACGGTATTCACCCAAGTCATTATTCCATCATAGTTCACAAAATACATCAGATAACATTCCAGAAGTAAGAACTTATATAAACATAAAAGGACAACATATAGGTTTAGTGCAGGTTCAAAGACAACATAAAGACTAGTAGTTTATTTTTGAAACTTAAATTAGCAACACTGTGAAGTTAGTATTTGTCTTTGTTTTTTGGTTGAAGTAATACAATTCATTCAAGTTTCAATTTGCAGAATAAGAGTAGTTTCTGAAACTTAAATTCGCAACGCGAAAATGAAAATCGCAACGAGAAAATCGCAACGCAAAACTAAAATCGCGTTGCGATTTTCATTTTTCACGTTGCGATTTTCATTTTCGTATTGCGAATTTAAGTTTCAAAAACTATTCTTATTCTGCAAATTGAAACTTGAATGAATTGCATTACTTCAACCAAAAAACAAAGATAAATACTAACTTCACAGGGTTAAAGACTAAACAATTTAGCAGTATTGGCAGCAACCGAATGAATTTACTAAGCAATCTCAGTGAAATGGTTAATCTATATATATTGAAATTACTAGTAAATTTATCATCAATATAAGAAAAATCTAATAATAATACAAAAAATTCAAAATAAAAATAAGAGATTAAAAAAACTAACCCTCGGTGGTTGATTTTCCATTTCTGACTGTGAATGGTTGTGAGGATTGCTCTGAGAGATGGAGATAGATGGATTTTGCCGGAGATGGGGACGGATGTCGCCGTAGAGAGTAAGAGATAAGATGAGACTTAGTTGTTATTTAGGGTTTTAGGTTATGATTTGCGATAATACTGTTTACATTTGTGTTGCGAAATTAATATTGTGTTTCGAATTCAAAAATTAAATAAAATTCGCGTTGCGAAAATAAACGCGTTTTGCGAATTTGACTTTCGCGTTGCGAATTTGACTATCGCGTTGCGAATTTGATTATCGTGTTGCGAATTTGACTTTTGTGTTGCGAATTTGAAATTCAGTGTTGCGAATTTGACTATCGCGTTGCAAATTTGACTTTTGTGTTGTGAATTTGACTTTTATGTTGTGATTTACAGATTCGCGTTGCGAATTTGACTTCTGTGTTACGAATTTGACTTCTGTGTTGCGATTTACATATTCGCGTTGCGAATTTGGAAACTGAGTTGCGAAATTAGAGTTCGCGTTGCGAATTTGTTGGTCATTTTCGCAAATCCAAAAAAAATTGGTTAAAATCGTATATTATAAGGTATTTTCGGTCACTGAGGTTATTTTCTCTTTGTAAAATTATCATAAAAACTAGTATTCAATTAAAACTTCGTCACCACCTCAAAATTAAATTAAATTAAATTACTTTTCTATTTTATTTGCAAATAAAAATTTGTTACACAGCTATTTATTTATTTTTATAAAATTCATATAATTTTGATTCCATATTTTAATAATTCAGATTTTTTTATTAATTTATAATACTTAGTAAAAATTGAATCACGTTTAATAATAAAATTTATATAAAAAAATAAACAATCATTTAATTATCATTTTTATTTCCAAATGAACTGAGAAAGTAAATTGGTTTAATTTGAGGTGATGACAAAATTTTAATTAAATATTAATTTTTTTTATGAAAAAATTATGAATTCTTAATTTAACAAATATTGAACAAAGCTTCTAGTTTCAACAGATAATTCGATCCTTTGTGTAGTGGTGTAAATAATGGAGCCACAAAATGTAGAGTAAGATGTAACAGAAGTACATCAAACATGTGAACAATCAGAAGTAAAAGGAATAAATTAGAAGCATCATATGAAAGAAACAAGAGAAAGGAACTTATATGGACAGGTCACGAGACTTTACAATATTGACAATGTTTCCACACCAATAGAACAAATACACCACAGGTCCACAACGTTCATTCTCATGTGGGACGACTGAGCATATTGCACAATAATAATAAGTGAGCTCACCTGTTGATAAAGTACCGGAAGCCGCAGACACCACAGCTTCCGGGATTAGATTAGGAAATGGTCGATCATATGGAAAACGACATCTCTTCCATCAGAATTGAACCAGTAGCTCTTTACCTAAAGAAGTTAAAATATTAATCAGTGCATCTGTGTTACTCCGATTCTTCACTTTAAGAACAAAACCCATGTTTTTTTTAAACGGTCTGGGATAATTACAAGGTAGTATCTGTTCACCAAACCCATGTTTGATACACTGGGCTAAATGCGAATATTGCAAACTACCCTCAGGCAATAAAGGGCTGCTAAGGTGTTCTTAGGAACCCTTTCTTTATGACAATGGATTCTTGCCACAACCCCATTGCAAAGCATGGAGGCAGGTTCAGATATTTATCCTTCCAAGGATCCCTTAATTTGGAACCTTGTGCATTTGTATAATGGATTATTGGCGTAATGGACGATGTCTTAAGTCTTTAATTTGAAATAAGGTGTCATAACTTAAGAACAGAGAATAAAATAGTTCTCAATTTCGTGTAAAAGAAAAATGAAGCATATGGAAATATCTATTATGCTATTGAACTTGCCTGAATCGTATTATGCGCAACGTATCGCTGTTTACTTTTTTGAAAGCTTACATCAACACGTTCCCAGGGTACTTGAGTGAGGCCTTGAATCATCACCTCTAGAAAAATAACGGGAGAATGATCAATGGAAGAGGTTTAAAAAATTCAACGAGATGATATAATATTATATTGTAGCAGAAGTTTCAGATACCATGGTAAAGAATGAATAACAGATATATGTTAAAAACCAAATAATGATATATAAACTATATAAAGTAATAAAGAAAGAAGAAGAAACACTGCAACGAAGACAACAATTACAGCTATCCCTTCAATTAAAACTATCTGATAGAGACCCTAGTCTTACATGTAGCAAGTTTCTAAAACTTACGGTACCAATCTGCTTTAAGATAGTGCTACATGATTGAAATCTTTTAAGAATAATATAATCCAAGAAAATGTGGAAGAAGCCAAAACAAGTGGTTAAACAGAAGAACTCATATATATGGGGAAATTTTGCAAAATGAAATAGATAAGTAATCTGGAGGACATGCTTTCTTATTTCTTCATTGTTTTATGAAGAACCTTTCAATATGGAGACCATCACTTGAGCAGTTGCCAGTTACCGGCGGTTCCATTAGTTGCAATGATTTTTAACCATTGACAAGATAGGCTGTCATTTCTTTCACATCCAAGCTGAGTGAAAGCATTTTTTATTAATGCTTTAATAACGAGGACAGTGCACATTATTCTGTTAAGTTTCTGGAAAAAATTATCCTTTTCAAATAACTTTGCCCGAGTCAATGACTCTTTATTTGTTCAAGACGATACCAAATGAACAATCTTTGACACAAAACAAAGAGATACAAATAAAAAGAAAGCAATGCATAGAAATATAGTACAATAAAGAAAGCTCGTTCTACTCAATTTTGATATAGAAAGGAATTTAGAAGCATATAGTGGTAAGTAGAGATTTTAGATGAATCATGGACGAGTTTTCTTCTAGAAGGCTACTGCAAATTAGTATCCATCTGAGCTGTGGGCTGGCTTTGCACTAGTTATTTTTTTTCCTTTTCTAGTTTCAGCAAACACTGCAATACTAATGTCACCACCTGCCCCACCGAGAGATGTAGTTGCTGGACCTGACACCAGTTGATATAGACATATGGAGACCAAATCCAAAAAGCTATTAAGGGTGGAGAGCCTAAGTCCATATAAACCCCACAAGGAAATCTCATACTTTATGAGATCCAAGTCCCATCTCTTACAATTAGGCACATATCATAAAGGCTTGAAAAGAAGAAAGAAACTCCCAGGAAGCCAAGTTTGATTTTCATACCATGTGAGAAAATAGATTATTTTATTGAATTTACTTGTGTGGAACGATGGAACAAGCCTAGGTATCTTTACGCAACTACTTCCACAGGAACTAGGACTGCCATCCTAACAATGGAACAAACCTACCGATGAGCCTTTGGTATTTCTAACAATTAGTCCTAAATAAAGAGGTCCTCCTAAAGTTAAAGGACTGCCCTCCTAAATGCACAATCTTCCTAAAATGCCATCTTGTCTTGACTGATCTCATACCATTGATCTATTCCCTGAATCTTCAAAAAACACCATAACCATTCCCTGAATACTACAGATTACAATTCATCTATTCCTTCTCTCCCTTTCTTCCTCTCCAAACCCCTCTGATCTACCCCAAGCCAAAAAATAATATAGAGAATAATCAGCTACACCATTGCACTAACCAAAATCACTTAAATGTCATAACAATTCCCTAAAGCCTAAAAATTCTATTTGATTTCACTCCCTCTAGCCTAACCCTTCCAATAAAAACCCTATATTCCCCCAAATCACTTACCACTATGAATAAAATTGTTGTACGGAAATATAAAGATTAGACCAGAAGCAGAAAAGCTCCACAAACCTTCAATATCAGTTGTTAGGGCTCCAGCAATACGGAAACCTTGGTTTTGGATCTTCTTTGTAGTTTCCCTCTCAATATATACAACATGTGGATACTTCTCATCTATTACAAGAAGATTTGACTGAAAATATAGAGAAAACATATTAATAAAACTAAGCAGCCAAATGAAACATAGAATTCAGAAATGTAAGAATTTACTAAATAGGACCTCTGGAAGTTCATTCTGACGCCGGATTGATGATGTTCTCCAACCAACCACATCTCAGACACAAGTCAAGATAAACATAATTTTGTACAAAAAGGGCAAGCATGGCTTTATGAATAAACAGGATTGAAGTTAATGAGAAACTTCAACTTCAAAAAGGATACGGTCGTAGTTTGCATTTGCATATGCCACACGTCGCTTAAATGCACGTAATGCTGATCTATACAAGTTAATGGAAACAGATATTACACTATGCATAGTTATTAAGAATAAGTGTTATGGCAATTGATTAAAGGAATCAAACAGTTAACACTAACATGAATTTCAGGTCATCACCATCATCAACCATCCTCAGAAGAAGAGGGAGTTTTCCCTCATCATTGTCGGTGAGAAATAGATGCTTTCCAGACCTTCCAACAACCAAGTGTGCAGTCTGAGATGCTCTTTCCTCAAGAAAAGGAAGACCACCAAGAAGCGGAAGCTGCAAAACATGGACAACCCAACCATACTATAAGTAGCACAACTATTGTATACATAAAATAGATGAAACAAAGAATAGGAACGCAAAAAAACCAGTAAAGAAGTCACTGAATTGAGAATCAACACTGCAAATAAATTCAAGTTTTACGGTCAGCATTCAACCATCTATTCTCAATTAGCTTAAATTATTAGTTATTTAAAGACTCCAGGAACTGCCAAGGACACAGTTGCATCAATTGGTTTACAGGAAAACCTGCTTGTATTAAGAAAAATACATGGAACCCACCACCATTTTCACCATATGAACTGTTCATTAATCTTCCCAATGTTTTCAACACCTAAAAGGAGTCCAAAAATCATCATTTACCTTAACTATTAAAGGAAAATATTTAGCAAGGAGAAATTTCTCAAAAAATAAAAAGGAAAAAAGTGCAAGTAAAAGACCCCTCTAAAGTGAGAGCAGTCTATGTAGGGTTCAGGAAGAGTTTTGACAGGCAAAAACCTCCAAAAGTGAAAAATTTACTTACAAATAGATTCTTAGCATTTCAAAATGACCAACTTCTGCTAACTTATACTTGGTGAGACAGCTTTGATTCTAGGTTTGTCACATGCTAGGCATCTCTTGGGGTGTAAAGGATTCAACAGGAAGAAAATGTGGGCTTTGAAGGTTCATAGTCTTCTATAGAAAGCAGTAAATAAGATTTAAAGACCCATCCATTTGTGACTTCGTGGATGGATAAGATTTTGGAATGAAAAAGTGGTCATCAAACTCTCATTATAATTATTATTTATTGTTCTTTATCGAAAATGGAGCAAGTAAATAACATGTAAACAGGCGCAGACAAAAAAATATTGAATCTAGATAACATGTAAAAGCATGCTACTTACCTGTTTATGTCCCCTTGAACCGAGATGTGGTGTTGCAAACGTTATAAAATTCATTGGTTCCAGTCCAGCAATTCTGTCTTGACAATGCTGCTGAAGGTATTGAATTGAAGAAATTGTGTCCCTAAAATTTAAAGAGTTCACATGACCTGATTGACCCAACTTTGAAGAATGCTCATAGAGCCTCCCTATAGCATATCTTGCAACAAGACCACCTAAAGAGTGAGCCACGAAAGATATCTTCCGTACATCTGGCCTAAGTTCCACAACACCTAATATCTGAACCACAGATTAATCGATGAATGATACTCTACACTGAAAAATTATCGCATAAATTTTCATAACAGTAACTCAGAAATTCTCCCCCCCCCCAAAAAAAAAGGAAGCCAAATTAAAATGGCCATATTATCAATCAAATAGGCCAGGAAATAAGATGAAAAATTGTATTACCAAAATACCTCTTGAGCTAGCCTTTCACCCATCATATCAACACCATCAAATGTCAATTTTGAGTAGTTGCATTGACTGCCTGTACATTAATATCAAGTCAAAATCTCCTATATATGCCAAGGAACTGCTGGAAATTATTTATCCACACTTGCTTGTCAAGTTGAGCTTATGCAGAGTTAAGACAGAAACTATCATTCCTTTGTATCACTTTCATCCAAATTTATCCAATTTTTTCCATGTAATTTTCCAATCTTTTCAACAGGACGGATGATGATATTACCAAACTTTTGGCTTATTCAAATTCCATCTATTGTTATTATATAATAGATAATCATGAAGTTGGCAATGGGATGGGAAAACTCCCGAAATAGCCACAGTCCATGACGTTAGTAAATGATGGACAAGCTGGAAGTGAACATCTATTTACCAGCTAGAGCAAGAGTGTTAACAGCTCACCAATTTATTAATTTCTAGATTCCTAGAAGTTGGTTAAGGGGTTTTTGTTAATGATTCCTTAGGATTGTTCCCTGTTATGTAATGTCTTATAATTTACTAGATCGGTAGATCCCAAGCTTTAGGACAAGATAGTTTCATGCGTATAAATAACCCCGAATTTATCAATAAAATATAACTGAAAATTCCTCTCCATTCTCTGTTTACAGAAATTCTTTCTATTCTCAGTTTTCAAACATAATCCAGTCAATAACATATTTGGCACTAGTTTGGGAAAGTATGTTTTATTCTTTTACGTAAAGTTTTGTCATAATTTTTCTTCCTAAAACCTCATTTTTTTGTCCTCGAGCTTCTATCTTAAAACCACACAAATTACACACACCGCAAAGTTTTGGAATTTGATTAGCACCATCAAATCATCAATGACTCATCATGCACAGTAGCGGAAAATAAAGGAGATGAAAAGAAAAAAGAGAAGATAAAACTTACGATGTACTGTTACTTTGTCTGGGAGCTTCTTCACAAACTGTTCAGCAGCAAATCTCCAATCAGCAGCACTATAAAAGCAGATAAAATTACTGTGATATTTAATTATCTTTAATGGTGTGAAGAACATCTATAAACTATGTAGAAGAAACAATTTATTGGCTGCCACAAGTGAGCATAATATAACAAGTATAAGAACATATAATGTATTCAACTGAAGAGATCAGATCAAGATGGATAGAAGAAACTAACATGGAAATAACAGCTCTTACCAGTTAAATCATACAATAAGAAGAGGTTGAGAGATGGGATTTGGTTAAGAATCATTATTTAACACAATGCTAGCAGAGATCAATGGCTTCACAAAATTCTTGTCAGGAACCCATTCTAGCCCATTATCTTCACATTCTTAAAATATTATATCTTTCTTATAATTAAATGAGCAGGGTACAAGATTAAATGAAAAATTGAAAAAAATACCCTGAAAAATAATCCTTAAATAAAGATCCTTTTACTCCTTTCTCATGGATTCTGACCTACCAGGTTCTATGAAGGACATGTGTAATATAAGATATGAATGTATTACAAAAATATTCAACTTCTGGAGAACAAGACGATGCAAGGATACAAGAATAAAATGTATGTACAAACAAAAATGAATCATTAATTTTGTTCTAGAAATACATAAAGCCCTAAAAAGTTATATAACATATGAATAATTAGATTTGGCAGCCATTCTATAATGAGAACATCTATGGCAATAAACATTTATAAAGCAATTTAATATAAATGTTCCTAAAACGTTTTTCAATATCAAGTACATAAATTTTTTTGAAACCCAAGAATAAAGAAAAAATCATGGCTTTAGACAAAGCCACCCTAATCTAAGTGGTTTTAAAATAGTTTTATCTTTTAATAGTTTTGATGTCAAACAGGTAAACATGTTGAAGCATCCAAACTAAAACCAATAAGTAAAAAGTGGAGAGCCCAACAATATAAGACAATAAGAAACTCCATACTTGACAAATGTGGAATAACACCACTTAACACTTACAAGGCTATAAATAAATAACCTCACATGGACTTAGGCAGAAACAACATCACATACCCCTGGGCTCTGATATCATATTAAAACATCTAATCTAAAACCAACCGGTAATAAGTGGAGAGCTCAACTTTTAATATAAGACAACAAGAAATCCGATACTTGAGAGATTTGGGATAACAGTGCTCAACAAAGATCAAGAAACTATAGTCGCATCTATGCTTCTATGGTACTTAAGGATGCAAAGGGTATTTTGGAGCATCTATGCTTCTATGGTTTCAAATATTAGTTGCTAAATAAAGCCTTCCTGGAAAAATTAAAACAGTAGAAATAGCATTAGTCAGAATCCATAAACATAACAAATAAAAGCTATAGTTGCATTAATGAAAATTTCTAGATGCTTGACTCAATATTGGGGTCAGAAGTTCATGCAAAATTTACGCAAATGAGTGAGGTGAGAATGGGGAGGCATCTCTCGTTTCAGAATCCACTCTTTGAATTTCAAAATTCAGAGTTACTTCAGTTTCTTCTTTCAATTGATGTAATTACATGCTGTTCCATAGAAGTTACATTGTTATAGCCAAAAGCCATAATGTCTCTTTTCATTATTGATAGTCACATAAAGCTAAGGAGAGAAATACACTAATTTAGGCAAAAGTCGTGTGTGTACGAGTATATTTACTGGAAAAGTTAGCTAAGCTTTACTGTTACTTGTTATCACTAGACTCCTCCAAAAGAATGAATTATCTTACATTTCAAAATAAAATTTTTATCAGCTAAAAGCTTAATTGAATTCTTAATTTCAAATGAAATTCTCATAAAACGAAAAATACCTTCCAACGAGGCCATTGACCATAATGACAAGATGTTCGGGCGAAACCTTGGAGCCCATGGCGTCGGCGTTGAAAACGTCTTGTTCGCCACTGTCTTCTTCGATTTTGATCCCCGGTTTAGGAGGCGGCTCCATGCTCTTGAAGCAACCGCCGCTCATGCTCCGAACCCACGACATCTGCATCCGCTCATGGTATAGCCAGTTCAGTTTCCGGGTCCACAGCGGAAACCCCAAGTTAAAGAAGCGAACCGAGCGGCGATTCGGGATACGGAACCTTCCGGCGCCCGGCGTGGAGGTTGGGAGCGGTGGAGAAATGGCGTCGATCATGTGGAAAAAGAAAGCATAGGTGAATCAAAAACAGAAAACAAAAGAGAGAAGTGGGATTTTTTAGCTGTGGTATTCGAGTTGTGCGATCCCGGATCTTATGGACGGCCGGGTTGCGAAAGAAACAGTCAACAATGGAGGCGCCAGAAAAAAAAGGAAATCGGAGCATAATTTAGACGTGCTTGCAGGTGATCTTTTCCCCTCAGACGGGCAATAAGTCGAGTAAACTACATCTAGCACCATTTAACTATGGAGAGATTTCAATATGACCACTTAACTATAGAGGGATTCTGAATTGATCATTGAACTTTTAATTTCATCAATAAGACATTTAATTGTTTAAAAAAAATGAATTAAGTCACACATCGATAACATTAAAAGAAAAAGATGAAGTGGTAGTTGAAAATTAGTATAACTTCATTTTTAGTTCATGCTACTCGCACACTCTATTATTTCAATCTTAATTTCAATTTAATTCGATAAATTTAATTTTCTAATCGTATTGCTACGATGCTTGGGAATTGGGATGCGAGTGTAAGTTCAGGAATAAGACCTAAATTAACCTTTGGGATTGAAAAACTATAAAGGATTAGGGTTTGGGTTAGGCCTAAGGGGCGGTGGAGACTTAAGGGGAAGCTAATATGGTTGTTGTGTTAGAAGAGCATGAGAGGAGAACTCTAGTGAGAAATTTGAGTTCATTACTCCATCGACACTGGATATTGAATTAGACGGTTGTGATCTAAATTTATGATCAATTTGATAGAACATGTAAGTTTTGAGAATTAAAATTGTTATTATATCATGTCACGTCATCATTTTTGTTAGATTAATGGTTAAACCTAACGGTAGATAATCAAAATAAAAATGAAATATTACATTAGATATGGTTTAAAAAATAATTAGATAACTACAATAGAAATACGAAAATAAATGAGTGAACAAATAGATAGTTTATTCTAAAAAAAGAAGTGAAAGATAAATTTTTTATTAATAAAATGATTAAGTCTTAAGGTAGAAAAGTAATTTTAGTAGTCTCGATGTGATGTTACTATAACATTGAAGCTATGAACGGTGAGCTAAGTGGTAGGACACACACGGATATTATTTGTTTTTACGAAGCTCAAATTCCATACTAAAAGATACGAATATCATCGGATTCAATAAAAATGAGTATTAGTTGCACATTAATCTGCCAGCTTTAATTTCACATAAATTTCTGTTGCAAAAATTTCATAAAAAAGCAATAGTTGATGAAATTGATCAGTAGGGTTTTTCTCCGACGTAATTCCCCGGAAGATCATAGTTGCATAGTTGCATGCGGTGAAAACACCCTTACCGCCATCACAAACCACTTTGGCACACCCGACACCTATAGTCTTGCTCCACACAATCTGCGTATAATGCCCATATTCCTGTCCCCTGACGCACAAATTCGACACTTGGTCGAACCATTTACCCTCGGACACCCACGAGGCGAACGCACCGGGGGGGCATCCAGCCATCGCTGCTACCCCAAAAGATGTTCTCCCGTAAGGTCCATTAAGAGTTTTACCGAACATTGGGTGTTGTGAAAACGGATTAATTAACTCGGGAAATCAACAAGCAATAAATCAAATGAATGACAAGATTTAACGAGGTTTGACAATGTGTCTACGTCATCAGGAGCGATGAACGCCTGTTCTCTTTATTATTCACAATAATCCAAAATTATTACAATTACAATATATAAGAGTAACCCCGATATAATTACAAAAATATCTCGTACCGTAGAAAACCTTTGGTTCTGTTTTTTTATTTATTATTATTATAATTTCATTAGTAGAAGGGAGCAATTATAATTATAATTATAACTAGTATAAATTATGTAGTGATTATAAGTATTTGGATAAATTTATTGAAGTTTGTGCTAGTGAGTTTAATTTCATTAAATAAATTTTTAATATAATTTTATTATTTAAAATATAATTGTACTTACAATCATTAGATTATAAAGGTAAAATAGTTAAATTTAATTTGAAAATATAACAATTTTAAACTTTTTTTATTTTTTAATATTTCATTAATTATAGGTTTATGTGATTTATATGTTTTCATATTTCCTAATTGGCCTGAATTTAAATATTCAATTGATTATTTTTATTTACATAATATTATAAGATGTCCTAAATGTGATTTAGTCTAGTGATTAGGAGGCGTCTAATCCCCCTTAAAAACTCATGTTCAATTTCCCTTAACATCACTCTCTTCAATTTATTTTGTATTTAATCACTTAATTGGATAATTAAATTTTTAAATTAAGATAAAATTAGGATCAATTAATAGTATGTGTGAGTGATGAAGATCAAATGTATAATTATATCAATTTTGTTAATTGTGTTGAGTTAATCGATTGACGGAATCGGCCAAGAGGGGGGTGAATTGGCAATAAAAATTTTGGTGGAATCTTTTGCAGAAAATTGAAAGTAATTGCACAGCGATTTACAGTGGTTCGACTTTCTCAACCAAAGTCTACGTCCACTACCTTAGTTATCCGCACTAAGGATTTTCCAACAAATTCACTAATTTGTTCTTTCTTTTGAGGCCAAATAGATAACCTTACAACTCCCTCAAGAATATACCTCAATTCTTGAGAACACTCTTTTCTCAAAGAGAAGATTACAAATTTGCAAACTTACAAGAAAAACCTCACAAGGCAAATATGTTTGCACAATTCTAGAACAAAGAAAGAACACTCAAGAATAAATACAATTGAGCACAATAAGTGTTCTTGAAAGCAAAATGAATATTGAATGAAAAATAGGCTTGTAAATGCTCAAACTTGATGTTTGATGCTTTCTCTTTGATTCTCTCTTGATTCTAGTTGCTTGATGTTTCTTGTTCTTGATCAATGGCTTCTAAGCTTGTTTAAATACACCTTGAATTACTTCTGAACATTGGGGATCATTAATGAAGTTATTGGAGCCGTTTAAGTGTGAAAACAATTAATATTTCTGCTTGGAGCGTGGGGGGAAACGGTACCCCCTCATGGGGAATCGGTTCCCTAAGTGTAAAATTCAAATATTCGACCGTTGACCCAGTGGGGGGAATCGATACCCCCTGGGGGGGAATCGGTTCCCTCCGAGCATACTGGAATTTCTCGGAGCAAAACCATTCAGGGGGAATCGGTACCCCCTTGGGGGGGAATCGGTTCCCTCTGGACAAACTGTAATTTTTGGCTTTGAAACGGTTCGAAATACTTTGTAAAATTGTTTTGAAATTATTTTAAGATTAAAACTTAATTTTACACTTTAGTAAGGATTTAAAATGAACTTTGAAATACTTTAAGTAATATTTTGATATTCGATTTAATATATCGAATATGCTTAGAAAAATCATTTTCAAAATTAAAATTCTTTTAATTTAATTTATTATATCGAAACATCAAAATGTTTTCAACAATCTCTCCCTTTTTGATATAACAAAACATTTTAAGATTTTCTAATTTCAAAATGAATTTTGATTTTGAAAAATACTACTCCCCCTTACTTTAACACTTTCTCCCCTTTTTTGTTAAATCAAAAAGACCCTATAAAAACGTTTTAAACAAGAATTTTGAAAAACGTAATCCAATTGATTTATTAATATAAAGCTTAAGCTGCTAAGATCACAATCAAAAGAGAGGTTAGCCATTAGTTTTATAGTCAATATTCATAAACATGTAATGGATAATTGGTCATATATGTCTAAAGATGCAAAATAAACACGAAATCCAAATCAAATGTATTAAACATAAGTTCGAACAACCAAAAAATAAACAATCCAAAAGCATTCAAAAATGTTTTAACAATAATGCAAATATCCAAGTTCAATCCAAACAAGCAAAGCAAAGATCAAAGTTCAAGCATCCGTAGGAGGATCGGGATGAGGGAAATGAGCTCGCATAGCTGCCATTTCATGAGTGAGTGCATTAATACGAGCGTTGGTTGCTTCATTGTTTGCACGCATCTCCCGGAGAATTTCCAATTGTTGAGCTTCCATTGTGGATAAATGTGATTCTATAGAAGTAAAGCGCGAATCTATGGTAGCATATCAGAAATCGAATGTCTCCATGAAAGATTGAAAATATGGAGGCATTTGATTCATTTATTGTGCTTGCTCCTCGGGCTGCTCAGGCTCATCTTCGGCTTCATCGATATCTCGCATTAATTGTTCAAGATCAGGATCGTCGTCAGCTGCCGATGAAGCTTGTGAAGAACTAGCTTCCGGAGTATGCTCAGTGCTTCGAACCCATTCACCAGTTTGCTTATCCTTAATCCATCCCGATCTCGTTAAGGAATGGAGATTGATTTGTTTCTTTAGGGGAAAAGAGGCATCAAGACCAACTCTAAGCCCAACTTTAGAAAATAGGTTACTTAGAATGCAACCGTAAACTAGAGAAGAACAAAGTTTCTTATTTGGAACTTGGTTTACGGTTTCAACAATTTCAACAAAAATAATCTCAGGAAGATTTATTTTAATATTGTTTTGGAAACAATGTAACCACCAAAGATCTAAAGCACGAAGAGTAGAGTAACGACCTCCGGATGGTCGAAACCACCAAGTGATCATTAGATGAAGAAAACGGTCATGAAGATCTAAGACACTCGCACTATCCCTTCTTTTATAACGAGAACCTAAAATTTGTTTTTCATTAGATAAACCATCATTATCTAATCCTAATGCATTAGCAATGTAAGCCGAATCAAGATGAAAGTATTGTCCTAGGAGATAAGAACGAACTGCTATTGGTTTGGTTTCAGCTTGATTTTTAATACATACGGCATTAGAATAAAAGATATGAACAAGTTGATGAAAAACTTGAGGTTCAAGGTTACAAAGTTTATCAAATTTCCACTCTCGTAGGAGAGGGAGATATCTAAAATTGATATCAATCATAGCCTGAAGAGATGGGATACGTTATTCCCTAATTTTGTATGATTCACAATATTGATAATACCAAAAATGATGATTTCTAGGACCATGTTGATTGAAACACGAGTTTTGGATAGTCAAATTTGGATCAATGGATTAGGATTAGAAATTGGAGGAATAGGTGGAGGATTTGGAGGTGGGTTGGATTGACAGTTTGAGCGACTAGATGATAACCTAGCACGTTTAGGAT